CTGGAGATATCTGAAGCAAATGGAAATTGAGCTACTTTATGACCCAGCAATCCCCCTGTTGGACATATACCTAGAAGAGGTAGGAAATAAAACACGACAGTCATTCGCACTCCAATGTTTATTGCAGCGCAATTCACAGTCGCAAAGAATTGTAAACAACCTAAATTTCCATCGATAGATGAGTGGATTAGAAAACTCTGGCAAAAACACACAATGGAGTACTACGCATCCCTAAAAAAACAGTGATGAACACGTGAATCACATTTTCTCATGAAAAGAGTTGGAAGAGATTATGCTAAGTGAAGTTAGCCAAGCACAAAAGGGCAAGTATAAGATGAATCCACTGAGGTAGGTCCAATCAACACAGTGGAAACAGAAGAAAAACTATTTAATACATAATTTAGAGGTTTAAGCCCAGGCACACAGGCAGGGGACAGACCAAGTTCAATGATGCTTACAGCATACCAATATAAATAAGGGGACAAGTGGGGGGCCTAGAAAAAGGAGGAGGAAAGATGAAGGCATTGAGGGAAACAGGGCACTGATCCACCATGGGGAGGGCACTGTTTATGTCTCCACAGGAAAGGGAGAGAGGGACCAGACCTCAACCTGGTGCGCCAAGCCTTAAGGGCAGCCTACTGGCATGAAGCAATGAACTAACAGAGAGGTCATGGGGCCGGCCCCTAATCCAGCTACGTGGACCCCCTTCCCAGAAGAAAGCACTACAGAGGACAGCATTGAAGATACAGCCTTGAGAGAGTGGCAGGTCTGCCCAGACCACAAGGGAACAAACTAAGAGGGAAAGAGAAAGAGAGAGAGAGAGAGTGGACAGAAACCCACCACACTTTGAGGATGACATTCTTGCTCAGAGTAGCCAGTGCACAGAGAGAAGCATAGGGTTGGCCTCACCAGGAGACACACTGTCCCCTTTCTGACCCACAGCACTAAGGTGAGCAGTATCGGAGACACAGTATGGGAATTGTGCCCGGTCTGATCCCCTGCTTCCACCCCCACCAGGGTGTAACATGAACGGAGTGCAGCAGAACAGTATGCAAAGTCCCTACTTTTGAAAATAGACTTTGGGCTGGGGCCAGGGCTTGGCACTGCATCAAACCCGATTGGAAAACATTCATAAGGGTCACCAGACAGACCAGGAACTATTCATAGGCTTTCCCCCCCATGTCTATCTATTTAAGATAGGCAGGATAAACAATCCCAAAGAAATACAAAGGGATGGATGGTTCGGGGTGGTGGTGGTGGGGGGGCAGGAGAGAGGAGGAGGTGGGGAAAAGGCAGGGGGAAGCCAACAAACCCAGGGACAAGGGAGCAACAAGAGATCTAAAATTGAAGGTGAGGAGGGCATAGAATTTGATCAAGTGCAATTTAGCCAAGAGGAAGTACAGAGAACCAAATGAAGGTCAAACATGATAGTGGGACAGGAGGATTTGATATGGATTTGAAGGAAGAATACATCTTCACTTGGCCAATATTGAGGAGCCCTGGTAGTATAGTGGTTAGATTGGGCTTTGATCCACAAGGTTAGCAGTTCAAAATCACCAGCCACTCCTTGGGGAAAGTAAAAGGAAATAGAGGAAAGAACTAGGAGGCAAAGGGCACTTATAGAGGTCTAAATACAGGCATGTACATATGTAAATATATTTATATATGATGATGGGGAAATAGATCTATGTGCATATATTTATAGGTTTAGTATTAAGGTAGTAGATGGACATTGGGCCTCCACTCAAGTAAGAACACTTTGTTCTATTAACCTGGCATTCCATGATGCTTACCTTCCCGACACAATTGCTGAAGACAAAGTGGGTGCATAGCAAATGTGGTGAAGAAAGCTAATGGTGCCCGGCTATCAAAAGATATAGCATCTGTGGTCTTAAAGGCTTAAAGATAAACAAGCAGCCAACTAGCTGAGCAGCAACAAAGCCTACATGGAAGAAGAACACCACCCTGTTTGATCAGGAGGTGTCCACAGGATCAGGTATCAGGCATCAGAAGACCCCAAACAAACAACCATTTAGATGCAAACAAGGTGGGTTGGAATGGAGACCCAAAAACCCATCTGTAGACAACTGGACATCCTCTCACAGAAGGGTTACAAGGAAGGGATGACCCAACCAGGTGCAGTATAGCACGGATGAAACACACAACATTCCTTTAGTTCTTTAATGATTCCCCCCCACATTATGATGACCCTGGTTCTATCTCACAAATCTGGCTAGACCAGAACATGTACAGTGGTACTGATAAGAGCTCTCGACACACAGAATCCAGGACAGATAAACCCCTCAGGACCAATAATGACAGCAGCGATACCATGAGTGGGGGTGAGATGGGAGGAGAAGGGGGAGAAAGTGGGAACTAACTGCAATGATCATCAACCCTCCTCCACCCCTGCAGGTTGTACAAACAGCAGAAACGTGGGCAAATGGAGACAGAAGATGGTGTAAAATATGAAAATAAAAATAATTTATAAATTATCAAGGGTTCATGAGGGTGGAAGGATGGGGGAGGGAGGGGGAAAAAAGGAGCTGATACTAAGGGCTCAAGTAGAAAGAAAATGTTTTGGAAATGATATGGCAACATATGTACAAATGTGCTTATACAATGGATGTATGGATTGTTATAAGAGCTGTAAGAGCCCCCTATAAAATGGTTTATTAAAATTTAAAAAAGAAAATGAAAAAAAGAAATAGGTCTTAGGACAGAAGCTATGGGAATGAAAGGCCCAGTCTCTTTGTAGCTGACAGCTATCAGCACAAGTAGAGGTTCATGTTCACATTGTTTCAGAGTTTGAATTGGTTTCATGGTTTGAACTTATACCCATCTTTATGTTGAGACTAGATGGATTCATGACAGTAGCTCCATCACACAAAAAATAGTTCGGAGGTACCACAAAGTGATTCGTTTTGCTTTATTGATGAAGTTATTAATCATATATATAATCTAAGTAGTTTCATTTTATGGATACATTTGCATGTAATGTCAACATATCATCTGTTCTAACAGCTATCATATGGCACACTGACTTAACTGTCACACACAAGACTTGTTACTGACCGTTAGAGTCTGTCTAAAATGATATTATTCAAATGCCCAGGTGACAATTTAAGAACATTAGCAATTTCAGTTTAACAAATTACTATGGGCTCTGAATTTTTTTGGTGGGGGCCTCTGTATTGCCTTACTTCTCTTACCTGATATTATAGTCTTCCTGCATAGCACAGTATAATACTTAATTATGCATTTTTACATTTCTAAATTTTGAGTCTCTTAGGCTATTGTTTTCATCTTACTGCTATTTAAAAATGGACCAGCAAGGCCCCACACGCAAATGAGCGAAAATATGTCCGTAAATGAAACATCTTGTTCTTCGTTTCCTAAGAGGCTGTTCAGATTTGCTCCTAGCCTGTGCTGTTCGTGAATCCTCTGTCTCTGGTCTCTTTTCCATGTCTCTTTGCCTGCCAAGTTAGGCCATAAGAACGCAGAGGAGACAAACTGGCAATCATTTCTCTTGGTCCATCTCAAAATGTTTTTCTGGTGCTATTTTAACTCAGTGTCAAACATTGATTTTGATGTCTGCTCCTAATTATTAGGGCAGAAGGGCAGACATAAGCACAAGTGAACATTTTATATCTTCTGAGAGCTCACTGTCTATTTGAGGAGAAAAAGAGCTGATTTTTTTGGACTGGGATAAATGATAGATTATGGGGAATCCTATAACAGAGAGTCTATGACCACAGTAGAGAAGAGGAGTGAAGTTCTACGTGGGTAGATCAGAGCTAACTTTGTAGAGGACGAAGAGTTTGATATGGACTTGAAGGAAGCATACATCTTCACTTGGCCAACATTGAGGAGCCCTGATAGTATAGTGGTTAGATTGGGCTTGGATCCACAAGGTTAGCAGTTCAAAATCACCAGCCACTCTTTGGGGAAAGACAGGGCTTTCTACTCCCATAAATAGTCACTGTCTTGGAAACTCACAGGGGCAGTTCTAGCCTGTCCTGTAAGGTCCCTATGAGTCAGACTCGACCTGATGGAAATGAATTTGTTTGTTTGACTTGGCCAATATTGAGAATAGGAAGTATATTCCAAATAGAGGGGAGAGCTTAAGCAAAAGAGTGGCAGGCAAGTATGATAGACACTTCAAAAAGTTCATGAAAAAAATTTCAATATCTCTCATTTTTTCCCTGCGTACTTTTTGAAGTCCTCTCTATAGGTTGTGCTCAAGCAAGACAGTAAATCAATGATGGTGGGAGGGAAAGGAGGGTAAAGACGTCTTGGAAGATTAGGTGTTTTGTGTCTAGATTTGTTGGACTTTGAATTCCACATGGACTTTGACCTTGTTCTATATTCATTGGAGAACCTTACAGATTTCTATGATGTGGAAAGGTGATTTTGGTTTTAGTGTGAATGAGGAGGAAAATATAAAAGAATAGTTAGAAATGTAGAGCTAACTTCTAAAAGTCGAGTGGGCAGGATCTGATATATTTACCCAGGAGGAGTATGAGGGAAAAGAAGCAAACATCAATGAACCCCACATTTCAAGTTCAAGTTCTTGGCATTATTTCCAAATGTAAGCAAAGACACCTACATATCTAGTGGTCTAAAGACAAAGAAAATGAGAAAAAAGGCCTGGGGGGTACTATTGTTTTTCTTTTTAAAATTTCTGCTATAGTATACTTCCTGAAATGTGGGCACATTCTCATCCTATTGAGCATTTGATAAGGCAATTTCTCATTTTATAGGGAAGTTAGAAGTGGAAGAGTGACATATGTATTTATTTCTAAACAACTGATAGGAGATAATTTGAAGCAATTTAATGAGATGAAAAGATTACACAACCCAAGTGTTCAGAAGGTTCTGCCGAATAGCATTAAGCTCAAGTTCATTGAAATCACCCTTTGTTGATTTGTCATTGTCTAGATGCAGCAGTAGCCAGAAGAACGGTAGCGGTGGTGACAGAGCTGTCCTTGAGCCTTTAGTTACTTATTTGCATTTGCTGCCCCTCGACCGGCTGCCATCCTCTTCAGAGCGGATTTCACATCCTGGTTCCTCAGTGTATAGATGAGGGGGTTCAGTAATGGAGTGACAACGGTGTAAAACACAGCTACTGCTCCATCCAGGGGACTCTTGGAGCCAGCCCGAAGGTAGATGAAAATACAGGGGACATAGTAGACTGTGACCACAGTGAGATGGGAACCACACGTGGAGAAGGCCCTGCGGCGCCCGTCGGCAGTGCGTATCTGCAGGATGGCATGGACGATGTTGGCATAGGAGAGCAGAATCAACATGAAGCAGCTGGCTGCCACGACTCCGATGTCCACAAAGGTCACAAGTTCATTGACTTTTGTGTCAGCACAGGCCAGTCGCAGCACTGCTGGGATGTCACAGATAAAGTAATCTACTTTGTTGGGCCCACAGTAGGGCAGGCGGAAGGTCAGGGTGACCTGGATAGACCCATGGATAGACCCAGCTGCCCAAGCTCCAGCCACAAGGATTGTGCATAACCTTCCATTCATGAGCACAGGGTAGCGAAGGGGTTGGCATATTGCTAGGTACCTGTCATAGGCCATCAAAGTGTAGAGGAAGCACTGGGTGCTGCCTAGGAAGTGGAAGAAATACAATTGAGCTACGCAGCCACCATATGAGATAGCCCTGCTGGCAGGAGTAAAATCCAAAATAAGTCGAGGAACGATGACTGAGGAGAGCCACATGTCAAGGCAGGAGAGCACCCCTAGAAGAATGTACATGGGGCGAGCATGGAGCTTCGGGTCAACCCACACAGTCAGCAGAATGAGCAGGTTCCCCAGCTGAGTCAGGATGTAAATGATGAAGAAGACCAGGAAGAGGAGGATCCTCAGATTGGGGGGGTGAGGCAAGCCCAGGATAATAAAACTTGTCACCACGGTGTCCAGGGATGAGCTGTTGGTCTTGCCCATGCTTTTTTTGTGGTGAATTCGGGTGAGAAGAACAAAACTGGATGAGGTTGTAGGTGAATGCTTTTGTTGGATAATTAATGAATTCCTAATGGTAATGAGATAAACAGAATACAATTTAGATTAAAAAAAAAGAAAAAAGAACAGATTGTGTTACCATTCACCATTTGTGCTTATTTGACAAGACTCCCCAGAGATTGGATGGTTTCCTAGGTGAATGGAGATGCTTATCTATTGGAAGATACTGAGACAAAGGGCTTGGCCGATAAAGAAAGAGGAGAATGTGTGAATGATAGAGAAGAATCAATAACTTACCCAAAAGGGCTAAGGTTGATAGGGAGTAGTGTGGAACAGATGCTACTTGATCATCACATAGTTTTCCTTTACTCTTCAGTATTGCAATATTTCTTCATTGTGCTAAATTAAAATTCCATCTACTCACCATAAACTCTAAAACATAATGCATGGTAATTGAGTCAATTCCTCACCATAGGACACGGTCGAATTGCCTCTCTGAGATTGTAACTCCTTAAGGGAATAGAAACCTTTATCTTTCGCCTGCAAAATGGCCGGTAGTTTCTAACTGCTGGCATTGTGGAATTCATTCCAAAGTGAAACCACTGGTGCCTTAGTGGGTTAGGTGCTGGGCTGCTAAGCACAGGGTCAGCAGTTCAAAACTACTAGCTTGTCATTGGGGGAAAGATGAGGTTTTCTATTCCAGTAAATAATTACAGTGTCTTGGTAACCCAAAGGGGCACTTCCATGCTGTCCTACAGAGTCACTATGAGTCTGAACTGACTGGATGGCAGTGCACAAGTTACTCACCATCTTAAGCAAAAACATTCATTATTTGTTCCTAACTCACCACCCGTTCCATCCATTTATAGTGCCTTCTAAGCCTTCAGATGCCCAGGGCTCCTCCGAGGTCTCTCATAGTATCAAGTTCTTAGGTGGGACCTAGCCCAGCCTGACCTTCTCTTCACCTAGGTCATGTCCACCTTTCATTCTGGACAAATTTTGTGGACCCTCACCTTCAAGTATGCTTCCTGGACGTCCCTGCTTACATTGTCCAGAACATGTATCTATAATTTATTTGACTCACCCACTAGTCACTCCCCCAGAACAGTGAATGGCACAGTGTACATGTTAACTAATTATCTACTGACCGATAAATGCTGCTAAATCCCTCTGATTTAACAGTGTCTTCCTGTTTGAGCGTGTTCTTCTGATTCTCATGGCTAGCTGACTGGGATTTTCAAGGCATGGGACCATCTCATTCTCAATATAACATAGGTCCAGTTTATTTATGGGGAAATTCAGGATTTGTTGGTTGATTTGTTATTATTGGTTTGGGACTGGATTTTTTTGTATGGAGTTATGGAGGAAGTTTTATATTTTATTATGAAGGCATTGATTAATGTAAGATGTGAATCTATCTATTTATCATCTATCTTATGACCTACCGATCATCCATCTATCCATCCTTTTCTTTTTAGCAATCTACAATATAACAAATCTTTCTAAAGACCTTTAATGATTTTCAAGTACCTGAATTAGATATGAAGAGAGAGAGGTGAAGTAAACCTGGGCTATGCTTCACAGCTTTTGTGAGTAGGTTGTTTGGTAAATATTTCTGTCCCCACTATAGGAGTTGAAATTCATTCATTTTTCATTTAATTATAATGTATCTTTGCCACTTAAATGATTATTTACAGAAAAGAATTAAAATTTAACAGGTTAATTATAAATAACACGAGTTTAATCTCCTTTAAAATATTCCATACAGAGATTTTGGCTTATTTTGCAAAATAACTTAATTCACATCGTATCATCAAAGAACTCATGATAATAATATCACTCCAATTATACCGAATATACCTGGATATTCTAGGTACACAAACTCTAGTTCTGGTGGATTTTAGCAGCTGTACTTAGGTTGGAATGTAACATTTCATAATTTGATCTCCCTCTGGATCCAGTATCAATTTATTCTGAAAATTTGATATTCTTGGCTTTCTCTTAGATGGACGCTTTTACCTGTCTTATATAGTCATTGTTGCCGAGCCCTTGTTTGCTGTTTGCCCGTGTCCTGTATGTTTCCCTATACTGGGAAACCAGGAGGGGTAGAACGACTAGACAGCGGCTGGATGCTTGTCTGGGGGCAGAGAAGGGGAGGGTGGGGGAAATGGGAAGTCAACCTTAGTGGGTACAAGAGAGGAGAAAAGGTCCCAAAGTTGGTGGCAATGATTACACAACCCTTCTTGAGATGCTGGGGCTACTGAATGACATGATATGTTAATTACAGCTTAATAAAATTAAAACAACAACTAAAACCTCACCCAGTTGTTAGGACATTTAAATTACAGAAAGTAAAACATGACTAATAATGAAAAAAAAAATCCATTTCTGTTCATCAATTCTGATTCTTAGGAACTCTATGGGATAGAGCACTGATTCCACGGCCGTGAATCTTTATGGAAACCGATTTCCACATCTGTGCTCAGTGGAGCAGCTTGTGATTGAACTATTGATGCTATAGTGAGCAGCTGAATGCTTGAACCAAAACACTACCAGGGCTCCTTTCTTCTCTTTTAAAAATCATTTTACTGGGGGCTCATACAGATCTTACCACAATGCATCCATCCATCCATTGTGTCAAGCACATTTGTACCTTTGTTGCCATCATCATTCTCAAAACATTCACTTTCTGTTTGAGCCCTTGGTATCAGCTCCTCATTTTTTCCCCTTCCTCCCTGCTCCCCCCTCCATCATGAACCCTTGATAATTTATAAATTATTATTGTTTTTTCATATCTTACACTGTTGGATGTCTCCCTTCATCCAGGGCTTATTTCTATGTCTATAACATGTGAATATTGTCCTCTGCTTCTCAACAAAGAAATATTAGATTTTTATTGCCTGAGCTTCAGGAGGATCATTTTGACTTGTTTGGAAATGGATCTGAAGATTAGTTGTTTTCTAGAAAAGAGAAAAGACAAATGTAATTGGAATGAACATTATGCATAAAAATGAGTTATGAGACAAATTAATTTACTGTCAATGGAGACACAATACCAGTGGGCCACTTGGATGAAGTCTTTGGGTGGTGCAAATGGTGGATGTGCTTGCTGCTAACTGTAAGGTTGGCAGTTTGAGTCCACCCAGAGGATCCTTGGAAGAAGGATCTGATGATCTATTAAAAAAAAAAAGAAGAAGCCTTAGAAACTCTACGCACCATAGTTCTACTCTTACATACACAGGTCCTTCAGAGTCTGAGTCAATTCCACGACCATTGGTCCCACACAGACAAGTAAGATATTTCTGGGATGTTTGATGACATTCGATCTCTGTATGCGAAATCAGATAGAATTGTACCACGGAGGGAATTGTCTGGAGGATTTCCTTAACGCCTATTTATGTAGAGTAAAAAATTCTCCCTAATTTATATGCTTTGCCACTGTGACTCCCCCCGTTTGTTGTACATAGCTGTGGTTTCACTTCTCCCAAGTACTCTGTTGGAAGACGGTGCCTTGTTCTCATTTCGGTTTGGGGTGGCTGGGGTAAGGGGGTCTGTCTGGCAGGAACCAGGAAACTGGGGGAGCTCATAAGTAGTGGCTTGCAGACCGACCCAGCCGAGGATGGTGGTTTTGACTTGAAGTGTCTTGCTTTGGGTTGCAGAGGAGGGCAGACTATGGTGCAGAGGGTGGAGCTGAGCACATTTCCAGAATGTGGATTATTGGCGGAAAGAGTATGTGCTGGTAAAAGGAGTGGATTTTTTGATAAGAGAGAAATTTTCTAAATGGGGAAAAAAAGTGCCACATTTGAGAATCCATTCTCCCTTTTCTCTGCCCATCCACACTCCCAGTTTTTGCTGTCCTTTTTTTTTTAAAGTCTGCTTCCTTTATTTAGCTGTTGAGATGGGAAGGCTGGAGGACAGACTTGGATTTTTAAAAGCTAAAAAACAATTTTAGTATGCCTATTCTGGCTAGATAACCAAA